ATAGGCGAGTTGTACTTCGGGAGAAGGCTACGAGCAATATTAACCCCGTCAATCAATAAACTAGATAAATTAATTAGATAATTTAGGTAGAAAACTCAACGGGGTTGTTAGCTAACCCATATCTCTAGAATATTCACTCACATTGAATTCGTCTCTATAATTCGCCAACTTGTTTCCTTTGTTTCTTAGTTTACTACTCTAAATTATCTTTAGTTAAATATTCGTACTTTGGATTTACTTGAATAGATTAATTGTTGGGTTTAATTTAGTTGATAGTTAATCACAAGTCCCTGTGGGTACGATATCTGGACTTACAATCCTATATTACTTGTCGACCACGTATACTTGCGTGTGCGTTTGGGAGCAACAAGTTTTTGGCGCCGTTGCCGAGGAACTTAGAAATTAACTATTTTACTAGATTAGATTTTTACTTTTTATCTATTTAAGTTTTTAATTTTAGTCTAGTGTAGTTAGTGTTATATTTTTATTTTTTTACATGACATCTTTAAACGAAAAGTGGTGGGATATTAAGTATTCTTGTTTTTGTGATCCTTGTCCATATTGTAAAGGACCCCACTTGTGGCAATATTGTAAAAACATTCCAAATACCGAGTTATGTGCACCATCTCCATCATGTAGTATTTGTGATGGAAATTGGAATAATTGTCCTAAGTGTTGTTATCCTACTCCAATCCCTTCTTATGTTGATTCTAATAATTCTTGTGAGTTTGACAGGAGTAACGAATTGGATGATGTAGAACACGATGTTCGCATTCTTGATATGCACGGAAAATTATTAGAGGAATATGGAGGTTTCCGTGAGAAAATTATGAATGAGATGCAACAATTTATAGAAGGAAGAGCTGAACTGGGACAAGAGATCGATCAATTTGGATGGTCTATTCACGACTTAGAGGCTCAATTGAGTGCAAAAGTTGATGCGTGTAACTCCCAACAATTCAGTGATGAGTTGTGTGAAGCTGAAAAGGATCTTCTAGACCAAATTGAGGAGCTAAAACGAGAATACCAATTATTCGACCAAAATATTATTAATGATGCCAAGGTTGACGAAGAGCTCAAAATTGAGGATGTCAAAAATAATGTAATTTTGGAGTTAGAGCGTATTGGACCTCATTCTAAACATTTTTCAACATTGTGTTTGGTTGGTTACATGGGAATTTATCCAGTCGAGCATATGAAGGAGTCAATGGATGAGGAACAAAGTGCTTATATTCTGAAATTTGTGATGTCAAGGAGACAAAACGACATTCCTCACTTAAAGGCCAAGAAGTGCAAGATGTGATACCTATTGTTTGGTTCATTTATTTTCACACCACCTCCCAAAGAACGTGACACAAAAATTGATGCAAAACTGGGGGCGCAATTCATATCCTCAAAGTGGAAGGAAAAGTGGTGAAAGTGATGGCGTCGTGCCGTGACGTTAAATAAGGTGCTTGTTGGGAGGCAACCCAAATTTTTTTCTTTTATTTTATTTTATTTTATTGTGTTAATATTTTTTTTGTAGTATTATTTTTGTGTTTTGTAGGAGTACGAGCATGGAATCAAAGCCAAGAGGCATGTGCAAAAGCGAGCAAGTGGTTGAAACTAAGTGTGAGGTACCCGCACAAGGGATCATACCAGGGAGAAGTCTGAGTATCCCGTGAGCTGCTAATTCTTCGGCCTTTGGCCTACCAGGGAGTTTCTTTTACCCTCTTGTTATTTTTAGTGTGCATTGAGGACATTGCACAATTTTAAGTGTGGGGTGAGGAGATTGTCTGGGTGATTTTCTGTGCTATCTTAGCTTAGTTATAGTACCCGTTCTTAGTGTAGTTGTAGTACTCGTTCTTAGTGTAGTAGTTTTTGTTAAAAACAAAAAAAAAATTAGAGAAAGTTCGGACTTTTTCCGACGATGGATCTTTTGGACAATTTTCTTGAGGGATAAAAGTCCGATTAAAAATACCAAAAAGTTTTTTTTTAGGATAGTTAGGTAGTATCCCTTGGTTTTTCTTTGGGCGCCGGTTCTTTTTCAAGGGTGTAGCTCGAACCGGGTACTTTTATCTTTTTTAGGAGTAGTTTAGGAAGAAACTGAGTCGCTCCGAGATACTCATTGACATGGTTGATGCGGGCACAATAGGCTATGACATACATTCTATTTTCCCGTATATTTGGTTTGAATTGTGAAGCCTAAGTAAAGTAAATAGCCTATTTTGTGACGCCTTTTCTCAGTTGTTTGATTTGTATGCTACATAGTGCAATATTGCTTAAATTTCTTAATTATGTGTGCTTACTTGACTTGAGAGTTGATCAGAACAGTCTTGATTGAGTCATGTGCAACGTGTGTGTGAGGAATTATGATTTTCTATGCTATCCTGTGTAGTCTAGAACTTGCCCCGTGTGTTAATTGAAGCGAAATTGTATGTGTGCTAATCTAGGAGATGACGTAGGCATTTACTTGCTTGATCATGGATGTGCTTGTCACATAAAAATAAAATTTTCCGTTGCTAGCCTCTTTGAGCCTATAGACCTTTCTTTGGTACCCACATTACAAGTCATACCCCTATTTTGTTCTTAATTTGATATTGATTGAACCTGTACCTCCTAAGGCACTTAGTCGCTAAAAGAAGTAAGGTTAGGGATTGGGGAGTAGCTTTCGAGTGGAACCATGGAAGGGCCCGTTGGTGCACTAAAGTTGAAATCAAAGGTCACTAGCCGATGAACCTTATTGTATGGAGTGTGTAAAAAAGAAAAAAAAAGAAAAATTTAAAGAAAAAAATGATAGTGAAAGTATGTAGAAACATAAAACACCTTCAATTCTTATTGATTTGCGCTAGTGAAAAGTAGAGAAGTGCTTAATTGAAAATAGGGCTATGTTGTATATGGCAAGTGATTTGGTTGAGAAGAATATGAGCTTGAATTGTAAATATAGTGTATTAAAGTGCTTAGGAGGGAGCCACTATTTCTAATTGTATCATACCCGTCCCTTAGCCTACATTACAACTTAAAAGTCCTAATTGATCATAGATTTGGCTAGCTTAAATTAGTAGAGATATACACTACGGGCAAGCTTATGGTACGACCACGGGATGCATATGAATTCTTTGTGAGAGTGAGTGAATTTGGTTAAATTGTGCGATGTTCTTAATCTATATTCAAAAGTATATTTGAATGTATGGACTATCTATAGTCACTCTTTTGTTTGTTGGTGAGGGCACATGATCTCATGAATGATTGGTAATGTTGTAAACTTTCTTGTTAGGTAAGTGCATGAATTGAGGGTGCTTAGTGGTTACAAGTCGGCTTTTGAGGTTGGGTGGTGACATATAGGTTGTTGGAATTAATTGAAGTGAAATATTATACTTGGGCATGCTTAGACGGGAATAATGTGAATTTTTGTGTGTTCATGCTTGTGTGCCGGTATTGATCATAGTTTAGGGTATAGTGTGTGGGTAAAAGATAAAGTACTCCTCTATAATTGATATTTGTACGTAGTTGGAGGGTTTATTAGATAGTCCCATTGCTCGAGGACGAGCGACATTTAAGTGTGGGGTGTTGATGATAGGCTATAATTGCGTATTTTAGTCGATTATTACACTCAAATTTACTGCACTTTGATTGGGTTTGAGCTTTAATCGCTAGTGTCTTGCACTAACTGTGTGTTTTATGCCTTGTAGGAGTGATTCAGAGCTATACAGATGTTATGGAATGAATTCAAGTGATTTGGAGCTTTGAAGTCTAAGTAAAAGCTCAAGGAATTAAGCCGGAATCGTGTTTGGGGGTCAACGGATGATAGTTAGAGCGAACGAAGAACCGAGTAGGCATATTGCGCACTGTCTAGTAAAATGGATATAACTTTTTGCTCAGAACTCCATTTGGTCTCCACAATATATGGTTGGAAAGCTAACTCAACAACTTCCATGTTTTACGTTTTTCCAAATTCCAAACATAACGGGGCGAAACGCGCAAGATTTGAGCCAAAACGAACGAAACCGGAAAAAAAGGGCCAGTTGGGCGCCACAGGCAGCGCCTGGCGCCACCTGTGGCGCCAAAAACAGTATGCACAAATATTTGGGCGCTATGGAGGGCGCCTGGCGCGGTGCTGGGCGCCGGTGACGTGAAATGTGTCCTATTTCGCCCGGGACAAGGTTATTTCGGCCCTAGACCCCAACACGTATAAAAGCAAGACTAAACCTATTTTTGAAGGAGAGGACGCCACTTTGGTGATAAATAACATACTTTGAAGGGGAATTCACGTGGGGGAACACACACCACGCTTGGAGGAGGCTTCCAACTAGTTTTTCTTCTCTTCCCTTCTTTTAGTTTCATAGTTTATTTGTTCTAGAGTTGTTAGGTGCTACATGAACGTTGTAGTTTGAAGCTTGAATTGATCTTATTATTTTATCATATTGGTTTATTTATTCAATCATGCGCTTAATTATTTGATTGCTTGATCACCAATTGAATACTATCTACGAATCTAGGATTGAACTCGGGAGAGGGAATTCTAGATTGCATATAAGATTGAGTAGAGCAAGATCTTAACTCTTAGGGGGAGTGGATTTGCGGTTAGGATAGGAATATACCTAATCGCCTTGCTTGGTTATTATACGGGAATTATAAATGCGTTCTTGTTAATCCTAATTCCATAGGAATATAGGCGTTAGGTTAGCTTGAATAGGCGAGTTGTACTTCGGGAGAAGGCTACGAGCAATATTAACCCCGTCAATCAATAAACTAGATAAGTTAATTAGACAATTTAGGTAGAAAACTCAACGGGATTGTTAGCTAACCCATATCTTTAGAATATTCACTCACATTGAATTCGTCTCTATAATTCGCCAATTTGTTTCCTTTGTTTCTTAGTTTACTACTCTAAATTATCTTTAGTTAAATATTCGTACTTTGGATTTACTTGAATAGATTAATTGTTGGGTTTAATTTAGTTGATAGTTAATCACAAGGGGGTACGATATCTGGACTTACAATCCTATATTACTTGTCGATCACGTATACTTGCGTAGAATGCTGTGAGGCTTTATATCGCAGTGAATGATTCCCTCGCCATGAATGCGACTGAGCCCTAAAACGACGTTTTTGGTGTGTTTTTTAACTTCAATTTCCGGCAACCCTTTCCCTGAACAATTCAAACGATCAGCCAAACTTCCACCGGATGCATATTCTAACAATAAGTTGTAGAGGAGTACACCGTCTTCTAACGTGACTTTAACACCAAAACACGGAATAACATAAGGAGACTTTTCAAATAACCTAAGGAATTCCCTTTCCTCTTGAAGTGACTGTGATCGACTCAACATGCAAGATTTTACAGCAATCAGTGATGGAATTCTACGATGATGAACAGTACCAGCGTAATCAGTAGTATTATCAATGGAAGCTAAAGAAACAAAGCCAAACCCTACTTTCCCCAACGTTCTCCCTCTCTTCCACTTAACTTCTACTTCTTCTGCCATTAGAATGAATTAGGTTTTGCTGCTGCAATTTCTCTCTCACAATTATAAATTTGTGAATAATCGTTTGCTGCGTAGTGTACGTTGTTGTTGTAAGTATTGGTTACTTAAAAACTTTGTTTCCTATTTTGTTTACCCTATTCCGTGTTTTAATTCCATTCCGTCTCCTCTCCTGTTCAAACGTGGAGTACATTGTTTGTTTTTCTATAAAAACAGGGAAACTAATTGTATTATTAGGAAACTTAATTAAGAGTTATTTCGATATTTCTTTTAGTATTCTGAACAGTTAACTTTAGGCGCAAGTGTAAAGCAGCAGCAGCAGCAACAACAACAACTACCCAGTATAATCCCACAAGGTGGGGTCTTGGGAGGGTAATACGTACACAGGCCTTACCCCTACCCGAAAGGGCAGAGAGGATGTTTCCACAAGTGTAAAGCATATACTTTATTAGATTTGAGAAAATTATTTAGTAATTGCTAATATATCTTAACATTTTATTTCAGATATTTCTTTTAGACAATAATTTTTTAGAAATCAATTACCTATTGTCTAGAATTTTTCTTTTCGTTCCGGTTTATGTGAACTTTTTTATTTTTGAGAGTCAATTTGACTACTCTTTGAAGCTAAATTGGATTAAATTAACTTACTATTTTAAAGTTAAAATTTAGATATCCAAAAACAATACCGAAATAATATAATTAAGTTGCAATTCTTCTCATATCAATATGATGAAAAACTATATTTCAAAATGTTGGTCGAAATTTACATAGTTTCAATATCGAAAAGATTCATATAAACTGAAATAAATGGAATACAATTTAGTGTTCTATTTTACCTCAAAATATGCATATGTTTTTTTTTTGTGTGTGCGCGCGCATAAAATCAATTAAAATGTGAATACGCTTCCTCGATTAGAGTAATATTATTAGGAAACTTAATTTCTTCTTTCCAATTGGGCATAATATAGTGGGACCTCTGAACTGAGACACTTTTTATTCATTGCACTTTTGAATTACTTTTGGTCCTAATTTCCTATGAATTTAGCAGTTTGATAGCTTTTGCCCTCTTGAGCACTGGCATGGCAAAGTTATAATTGGTGAAATTGCAAGATTATAACTCTAATCACCCTATTTCGTACATTAATTACTTTAGCAGGAAAGTTCATTTGTTATAAAAGATTTAGCAATCTTTTTGAACAAAGCATGATTTGGGAATAAGTTTTCATTAATCCAAGCCTGTGACTTAATAAAACAACACAAGCTTTAGTCTTCATCCTACAAACCCAAAGTGCATTAAGTTGCTGCAATAGCATATAAAAACATAAGCTGCTTAATAACCAACTAATAATGACAAATGTGTTATCAAAATAAGCCTAATTTTTTTTTCAATACTAGAGTGATTGCGTGACACACACAATCAACCAGAATACTAATCCCATCGGCTGTCAATCTCAAGTCTTCAAGGGAAGCAAAAGATAATAGGGAAGCTTAAATCCACCATCTATAATGCAAGTTTTAGCAAGTTCAAATCAATCAGATGTTCTTCCTCACACAGAATGATCTTATTTTGTTCACACAAAATTCTTACTATACTTAAATTCCAGGGTACAACATATATATAAAAAGAAACAGAAGAAGAAATTAACGCTCTACAATAAACTTTAGAGAAATCGGCAGAGTACAAAACATTACGAAAGATCCCCGGTGAATTAAAATCTTGAGAAGACCCTCATATGAAATGGTCTGAGGAAATCAAGCGGCCTAAGAAACATACATGGACTGGTTTGACATTCTTGTGAACGGGACGATCAGTAACCTCCCTGTTTTGGATGGTCATCCAGTTTAATCAAGCATTTTTAATTCCCCTAATTATGGCTGAAAAGATCTCAAGAATATGGTTACACAACAAATGTGCTGAGAGATTGTTGATAAGTCCTGATCAAATCCTAGAAATCGTTGCCAGAAGAAGCGCTGCCTGATCTAAGAGCTTCAGCATGCCCATTGCTAGTTTTGCTGATAATCCCCTTGCCAAAGTAATCGGCAATTACAGAAAATCCATCCTTTGAGCTCTGAACCAGTTGAAAGAACTGGTCTGGGTTTTTGGAACTTTGCTCCAAGCTTCTCTTTGTTTCCAGAACAGCTCTGTACTCGGGAGCACACTCGGGGCATTCTTTCTCATTGTCGCCAAGGCAGCGCTGGTGAAATGAGTGCATACACATGAAGTGTACAGCAGGAAGGTCGAGTGTGAACGTGCAAGCAGTACACTTGCTAAGCTGAAAAATTCTAGCATTTGTTCTTAGATCCTGGATCTCTTTTCTCATTGTTGATGATGCTTCCTGCAAAATGAGGAAAAATGATCAGAATATTATATCTCTCAATTGATTTTAAAGATCCATAAGAACTCAGATGAATGAACATATAAACAGAATTCGAGATAACTGAATATAAGGATCTGACAATTCCTTTTTCAAAAAGGACACAGAAAGGAGAAGTAATTTTTCAGGTAGACTACCCATCTTCTTAGGTGCACAGCTAGCGAGCTCGGAGAATAGTGAGTTTAGGCAGCAGTTTTAGGTGCTTGTAGCCGAGAGAAAGCAATAGAAGTCGAGCATCTAAATCAATGATGAAAAAGAAGGCTAGCCACGGAGAACAGCCAGTAGAAGTCAATACTCAGTAGGTATTAGACAGACATCATGCCAACACTATAGGATAAAAGACAGCTATTCCAGCAACTCCAGGCTCCCCC